AAAACGAAACTGATCTCTATTAATCGTCTGAGAAAAGCAATTCTGTTTTCCATCAGTATGGCTGATGCTAACCCCCAGAATAGTAAGTCGATGCGCCTTATCGAGATAACATTCTCTACTGACATAAAATGGAAATATATTATATAGCCTCTGCTATTTACTTTGAGATCCTTGATAAAATTCAAAGAAGAATCAGCAATATTATTGGTCCTGATCTGGCGGCTCGGCTTCAGTCAGTTTCCCACCGTCGTAAGGTTACACCTCTGTGTCTTTTCTATAAATACTTTCATGGTAATTGTTCCGATGAGCTCTTCGCTATCGTACCGAAACTTTTTGAATTTAATTCTCGCCAAGAAGCTTGGGGTGATAGCACCTGTTAGGGTCCCAGGTATGGGCAGTTAGTGACCCCGCCCCCAATTGGACTTAAAACACTATGAAAGTTTAGAAAGACATTTTTATAATGACCGTACCAGCAATAAATAAAGTTGCCTCTTTGTGACTTTCCTATAAATTCTTTAATGGTAAATTGTTCGGATGAGCTGTTTGCGATGATACCTAGACTTTCTGAATTTAAGCGCAGTACTAGACAGGAGTCACGATCTCATCAATTTACAGTCGAAATGGCTAGATGCTAACAGTTTCTCGCTTGCGGAGTTCACTTCGACTCAATGCTTTCCGGCCAACATTAATCTGCAAAAATTCGAAAGAAAAGTCAATGTCTTTCTACTGTCCAATTGATTACTTTCTTTTCTTTCAGCTCATCATTAATATTTCTATTCCTAATTGTTCCGCACCGTGTAACCTCTTGAGTTTAAGTGGCATTACAGCCTTGCTTGGGAAGAATCCGATAGAAAACTATATTGAATCAATTGCTAGATCAGCTGCCAAGAAAGTTAACTGTGCCGTGCAAGTCCATTTTACTCTCCAGAATCTAGTTCACATATTTCGAAGTCTGCTGCGACATATCGTTTGATTCTTCTTCTATATACGTAGATATTCTTGATAAAATAAGAAAAAAATCGCAATATTCTTGGTCCTGAACTGGCATCTCTGCTTTCCCAACGCCCTAAAGTTGCTTCCCTCTGCCTTTTCTATAAATATCTCCATGGTAATTATTCTGATGACTTTTTCTCTACAGTACCTAGATTTTATGACTTTGAGCGCAGTACTAGATTGGCGCCAAGGTCTCATCATTTTATTGTTGAAATGGCTAGATGTAACCGTAAGTTCGATGCTAACAGTTTCTTCTATCGCACTTCTCGCTTGAGGAACTATCTTCCAGGTTATTTTTGTTTTTCAATCAACTGTGATCTTCAGATAATTCAAATGCAATGACAGCCGTCATCTACTGTCTTCCGAATCACTCTTCTATTGCTCACTCTCCTTAAAGATGTCTCTCGTTTCCTTATTTTCCGCCTTATTCTTAATAATGTCTTTCCTTTTCTTTTTCCTATTTTTTTTTTTCCTTTTTCATCCCCTGTGATGCCTTTAAAGCCTTGCTTGGGGTGAAATCATTAAAACAAAAAAAAAAATTCAAAACCAGAGAGAGTTGGGTCCGTCAGATTATCTTTCCCAGGAAACACCAATGCTACTGCGGCTTCAATACGTGACCCTAACAGGGTTAAGGGTGACCTATGACCCTAATGGTGTTACAGGTTTCGGGATCATGATATACTTTCATCAACAACCTATCTATCTATGTTCGTAACTATTTATCTATGTTCGTATCTATCTCAACCTTTTCTTATCTCTCTATCTCTCTAACTATCTATCTATCTTAATCTTTATCTATCCATTTGCTCCAGGATAATGCGCCCGTTCACACTGCTCAGGTTGCAGTAGCTGAATCACCCAACTGTCGCTTTGAATTGCTACCCTTTAATCACCAGACTTAACTCCTCTGTGGTCGCCATTTTGGAAACAAAGATCAGATCATATGTGCCTTGGATGAGTTTATGGGTGACCATTATGCCACCTTCTCCGTGGGGGCATTGCATCGCTGGACCAAGTGCATTGATATCAAGGAGGACTATATTGAAAAATAGTGAACAATTGTCTTGTTTCTCCAAGTCATTCTGCGAACTTTTAGAGTGTCCTCATCTATGGTGTTTTCGTCTGTCCCTTCAGTATTCCATGTGAGTGTTAAATTTTCCAAGCTTTCTTTCTTCATCAAGTCCTCTAGAAATTTCAACCGTCTGTTCTCGATGTTAAGTACAGATGTCTTCTTTGTTTCCAGTTTCTCTTAAACTTCATTATTGTTCACATGTCCAGTCCATTATATTCTCAGCATCCCTCTGTAGCACCACATTTCTATCGCCTCAAATCTCTTCTTCATCTTAGAGGAGATTATTCAGCATTCATTGCTTTTCCTGTTTCTAAGGAATTTGTCCTGTTTCTTAATACTTTGCTTAGATTTTGGAAGACATCTTTCGTTATCCCAATGCGCTTTCGGATTTCGGTGTCGCACTCTGTTAAAAAAATCCTGAAATATTTGCATTGCTGTAATTGCTTGATTTTGGTATCTCCAATTTCTAATTTGCAGGCTGGGCTGTGCCTTTTGCTAACAGCCATACAATCAGTCTTCTTGCAATTGATGTTTAGTCCTTTCTCCTCTCAGTAACTTCTGTCGGAGTTCTAGCAGTTTCCTTTCAACACTGTGTCGTCTGCATGTCTCATGCTGATAAGATTGCGCCGGGCTATAGTGGATCCAGTTGGAACTTCTATTTCTCTCAGGATTGCTTCACTGTATAGGTTGAATAAGTCCGGTAAGAAGACACATCCTTGTCTTGCACACTATACTTTTTTTTTTTTTTTTTGTATATTTAACGAACTCATTTTCTACCCGTATGGTTTGCTGCTAGTATATGTTCTGGGTTATTCAAATATCCTTCCTATATATATATATATATATATATATATATATATATATATATATCATACTCATTATAAAACCCAGGTTGTGTGTGTGTGTGTATGTCTGTACGTTTATATATTGGATCGGATTTCCTACATTTTTCAACCGATTTCAACAAAACTTCACAGGACTACGTAAAATTACCTTGCGGTGGTTCTGACAGCGCCAAAAATTGGAAAAACACGATTAAGAGGCATCGCGAGAATGAGAGGGGGACAACTCATATCGAGTTATACTTATTATTAAACCCAGGTTGTGTGTGTGTGTGTGTGTGTGTGTGTGTGTGTGTGTGTGTGTGTGTGTGTGTGTGTGTGTGTGTTCGTTTATATATGGGATCGGATTTCCTACATTTTTCAACCGATTTCAACAAAACTTTGGCAGGTAGTTTTTCTTACTGTCTTGCACACTTTTTTTTCTTTATTTTACATTCAGAATGCTTTTAAAATTCCATTTACAAGACAATTGTTTATAATAAAATTCTATTCAATCGTTAGACTCATTACGATTGAAAACAATGTTTTTGTTTGAGTTTGGGTTTGAACAATTGTAAAAAATATATATATATATATATATATATATATATATATATATATATATATATAAGGAAAAAGGAAAAACCTTGGTAATCCGCATGGATAATCCCAAGGAGGATGAAATCCAGAGAGCTCATTGTTAAATCAGAGTGATGATTAATTCAATGAAAACAGACAACATTAAGGGTCCATTGGTAATAATTTATTTCCCCAGGAAATTTCTTTTTCCCTGGCTCATCAGACCACACTTCCAAGAACGAATAAAATGAATTTAAATCTACATATATTTTTATACACCTTTGAGGGGTAGTTTTAAGTTGATGTAAGGTAATATAGCGAGTGGGGAGAAAGAGTCTGACAGACATGGTCGACATTAGTGAGGGAAGGGAGAGATAGAAATGATTGTAAATTTATTTTTATTACAGTACTTAATAGTGAGGCAGGTGGGGGGGTAAGGACCAGACATTGACTTATTTAATAGGCCACCTTACAGGAAACGATATAGAGAGAGAGAAAAAGAGAGAAGTAAAGATGTAAGAAATATGAGGTGGACTTAGGGTTTTAATGAAAGAAAGGGGAATAGGGTTTTGGAAATGGAAATTAAGAGAATTATTATACGAGGGCATACTGCGGCTAATTTAGAAAAACTTAGATTTATATATTTTTCCGTTAACGTTTGACAGTAAATTAAATGTTTTAATTTTTAAACAAATTAAACTAGGAAATAAATATAATTTGAATATAAGATCAATAAACACATATCTTACTATTATTAATATTTTTAATATTGTGAATAACAGTTAAGGAGTAATATTTCTTAATTAAAGTCTAAGTCTTCAAATCTAATTTGAAAACTATTTCGAAATGAAACAAGATTTAAACGTAATAAAATATTATCTTTATACTTTATATATATATATATATATATATATATATATATATATATATATATATATATATATATATATATATATATGCATACACATATGCATATATGCATACATAGACACCACATATATATCTACATAAAATTGCATATATATACCCGTACATATATACATACACAACCACATACATATGTATCGATAAACATACATATACATACATAACCTTACATACATACATACACACACACGCACACACATATATATATATATATACAAGTACATATTCACACATCTATTCATATATACATGTATATGTACATACACATATACCCACATACACATGCATACATATACACACACACATATATATATACATATATACATATATATACATATACACACACATATATACATATATACATATATATATACACACACATATATATACATATACACAAACACATATATATATACATATATATGAACATAAACATACATACATATAAGTACCTACATACACACGCACACTTTAACGTATTATATACGGATGCATACAAGCATGTATACGGATGTATACAAACATGTATGTGTGTGTGTGTGTGTGTGTGTATGTGTGTGTGTGTGTGCATTTATATATATTTGATTTAAATTTCAAAAGTTTCGGCAATGATAGACATTTTTGCTAAAACTGGAAAAAAGATTCTGGTGTCGGTTGTGACTTGTCTTTGCCAAATAAGACATAGCCCTTCTTGTACAGAGAGAGGTCAGCCTGCCGAATCTATCAAGCCCAGAGGCCAATCCTTCAATTTTCACCAAAAGCGTGGCCGTAAAAGTTTTTTTTTTACATTTTCAGTGGAAAAAAAATCCTTCCTGCCGTGACGAGTCTGGGCGACGCCGATGCACACAAGATAATTAACCTTTCACTGTATTCCATAGACACCGTGTGATTAATTTACCGGTATTAATGACTTGACATGTTTACACACTCTCATTTAATTAGCTTGTAGTAACTGGGGTCAGGTGATGCTGATTACTTCTGAAGATTTGTGTTGTCTTCTCTCTCGAAATATAAACGGAAAATGGGCAAATTGGTTTTAGCAAGAAGATAGGATCTACATGCCATGCACAAATAACAAAAGAAAAATTGGCAACAAAAAATAGCAGTCAATGGTGGTCGATTTCCTCTTCAATGAAAATCAAATGATTGAATCGTTTTTTACTGCTTATCAACACATTGCGGGTTATTTAAAGCCAGAAAATATTTTTAGATTGTAAGATTTTTTTTTTTTTTTTGGAAATAATAAGGGTATTGTCTCCACCCTATATCTGGGTATAAAGCTGAAGAGGTATGCGTTCATGTGTAATATATCTCTGATTGATTCGTTTTTTACAGCTTATCAACCCATTGCAATTTATTTAAAGACAGAAAAAATTTTTAAATTGTAAGAATTTTTTGTTTTTGTTTTTAGAGATAATAACGGTTTAGTCCCCTTCTACCACCGAAGATGTATTCATTCATGTGCAGAACGTTTTTGTTGATTGTTTGCTTAATTCATTTTCTACGGCTTTTTTTACGGTTCATCAACCCATTACAAGTTATTTAAAGCCAGAAAATATTTTTTAGATTTTTCGGTAATTTTTCTTACTTTTTCTAACCCATTGAAAGGGGATAAGTGGTGGATTCATATTTCTTTCCCACGCCTAAGTGAATATGACCCATAGATAGGCGGAAAAGATGGGCGACCGTTAGTGAATGCAATAGACGACGTTGGAATTCGAATTCGGTTTGTCGATTTCGTTTTTTAAACTCAAAACCGTTGCATTATTCGTCCTGTCGTCGGTTTGCATTGGCCTTACCTGAAACACTGTTCGATCACCAAAGTTGAGCAACGTCGAGAATGTTCAGTACTTATATGGGGGACCGCTTAGGAAACCGTGGACTACATTACGAAATATGTCGTGGCTTTGAGGAACCCTCAAAGGGTCGATAAACAGTCAAAAACAAATCAGTTGAATGAGTGGAGTAGGTGGGGCGAATTATTCTCATAATGTTTCCAATATCAAAAGTTATTCTTTAAATAAAACCTGTTAACCATTCAGAAAAAAAATTCCTCGAGATCGGATTTTTTTTTATCGGAGTAAATGACTTCCAAAACTTACCTGATCAATTTACCCCCCTCTCTCTCTCTCTCTCGCTCTTTCTCTCTCTCTCTTTCTCTCTCTCTCTCTTGCTTTCTCGCTCTCTCTCTCTCTCTTGCTTTCTCGCTCTCTCTCTCTCTCTCTCTCCCCTTTATTTTGTGGAGTTACTCTATCTGTCTCCTTTATTTTGTTGGCTCACATATTCTCTCTCTCCTCTGTATTACCCTATTTCTGTCTGTCTGTCTGTCTGTCTCTCTGTCTGTCTGTCTGTCTCTCTCTCTCTCTCTCTCTCTCTATTTCGATCCTGTGTTTTGCTGACTCGCTCACTGCTTTATTTTTTGGACTCTCTCTCTCTCTCTCTCTCTCTCTCTCTCTCTCTCTCTCTCTCTCTCTCTCGATGCTTTATTTTGTGTATTCACCCTCTCTTCTTTCTCTTCAGTCACAGGATACCGTTGTGACAAGTCTTCAAAGAGAAATGTATTCATTTATGCCTGCCTAGGATCTTCTCTTAACACCTACTAGGTGGCGTTGTATAAAGTATTATGAAAAGCAAAGAACTTAAACTATCTTTCTCTTTTAAACGTATAAATTTAGGCCCAAGAGGGAACTTTTTCGATGTCTAAAACAGTCTAAAAGGAAAGGACTATAAGTCTCCTTCTCAGGATGCCGTAGCGACAAGACGTGTTTCGTTTCCCCGTGGGAACAATAATCAGTCTTCCTCGAACCACATGTCCTATACAACACATTACATTATCACCAGTTCATAAAAACCTCATCCGACGACAAAATTTGAACTCAGCTTGTTGATTCCCCTTTCCAGACTGATACCTTTTACTTTATGTGCCGTCCTGGGTAAGACGTTGAACTCCATCCACGTCCTGGGTAAGATGTTAAACTACGTCCAGCAGCAAGACCTCTGATCAGGAGGTTTTCAGGAGCGTGGAACCACCTCTTAATTGCTGGTGTTCCCGGGTCCGCCTTAACCCGGGGTGAGGCACCTGTTGGGGTCCCAGCTATGGACAAATATTTAACTATTACCAGCAATACCTTTTTGAAAAAAATTATTACCAGCAGTACAATTTTGAAGGAAATATATTACCAGAAACAGATTTTTGACAAAACAAAATATTACCAGCAATAAATTTTTTTGTCGGCATTTGGTGGCCCATTGAAGTTGGTGTGCCGTAGAACAGAATAATTTAAACCAAAGAATACATATTCTATTCATACGAATCTATCCTAAAAATATTGTCAGTATTAAATAACCCATTGAGGTTGATATGCCGTAAAACAAAATAAACCAAACCAAACTTTGTGCACATCCTAGTTTACAGCCACATCACCGATCACCGAAGTTAAGCAACGTCGCACCTGGTCAGTATTGGTGACCTCTTGGGAATACCAGATGCTGTGAGCTTGGATGTGCGGGTGGTGTAATGGATAATTGTTCGGATTAAAATTTGGTCATAATGCATCTCAAAGTGCTGATAACATTAACAAAGCATGGGGTCAAAGGTCTACTTGTCTTTGGAGAGTACGGTGTTGGTTCCTGAAATTTCTCAGTGGGGATACGAGTCTTGAAGATCATGATAGTAGAGGACGTCCATCTGCAATTAACAAAATATGAAAACACTAGTTGAACAGAATCTACGTTAGAGTATCAGTGAAATGTTTCAGGTAATGGATGTCAGCATTTCAACAATATCGGACCATCTCAATAAAATTGTCAATGTGAAGAAACACGATAAATGCGTTTCACATGAACTCAGTGAATCTTAAAGAGTTTGACATTTTGAAGTGTGATCGACGCTGCATCTGCTAATTTCGAATGACCGTTTCTTTGATCAAATAGTGACTTGTATTGAGAAATGTAAACGATCGGCTCAATGACTTGACCTTGACTAAACAAAAGTCACTATGGTGACTGTCTGGTGGTCCTTCACCAAACAGTCACCATAATGGCAGGCACCATATATGGCAGCAATATTCTAAGCATGGACGAATAGTAGACATAGATATGAAAGATAGATCCCGGAGAGAAAAATTGTCTCGCACGACACAGTGAGCCAAATTTCCTAGCAGCTGACCTAGCAATGGATTCAATGTAGCCTTTCCACTTCATGTCAGCTGAGAACGTTAGCCCGAAAAGGCACAATGAACCACTTTCCTAAAGGATACCATGTCATTCTAATGGAAGGCAGTGAGAGGGCTGTCTTTACGGCTATCTGGAATCTAACTAAAGTTGGTTTATCGACGAGGCCCAATTCTGCTTTATGGCAATGCTCAGCCAAATGTTGCCAAGATAGCACTGAAGAAGCTTACCGATTTGGGATAAGAGATTTTGCCACGTCCATAATATTTCCCTGGTCTCTCAACCACGAACAACCAATTTTTCTTGCATCTTGACGATTTCTGATACAAAACACATTCCGTTGCAAAGATGATTACGAAATTCCATTCAATGATTATATACACCTTATCTTGAACACGAAGGAAGGAGAGACGTGTTTATGTTTTGATATCTGTTCGAGCTTATAATGTTTCTCAAACCGCTGCCAACATTAACAGAAGTCAGGTTACAGATCCACTTATGATGGAACAGTACGGCGCTGGTTTCTGAAGTTCCGCAGTGGGGATACAAGTCTGGTTGGTAGAGGATGACTATCTGCAATTGACAATCAACCTCTGAAAACACTAGTCGAACAAAACCCACGTCAAAGTGTCAGAGAAATGCCTCAGATAATAGGTGCCAGCATTTCAATATCTTATCATCTCAAGAATTCAAAGGAAAGAAACTCGATAAATTGGGCTCCACACTTACTCTGAAAAGTCAACGAGTTCGACGTTTTTAACTGTGATCGATTCTACAACTGCGATAGTCTCAATCGCTTGATCATGACCAAAGACCTAAAAACTCTCAAAAACCGAAATTAAACTAACAAAAGTTTATAGTGACTATCTGGTAGTCCGCCATTGGGTAGAAAATGACATTTTTCTGAAATCTAACCAAAACATCAAGGCACATTCAGTTAATCAAAATCTTTAATCAGTTTCACCCCAATCAAGGCATTACAGCCTCTAAGACGCAAGAGGTTACAGGATGTGGAAGAATTAGGAACAGAATCATTAATAATGAGTAGAAAGAGAAAAGAGTAACCAGAAGGACAGCGATTGACAAAGCATTTACATTTTTGCAGATTAAAGTTAGATGGAAAGTATGGAGCAGTAAGGCTGTTCCACAAGCGAGAAGTGCGAGAGAAGAAACTGTTAGCATAGAACTTACGGCTACATCTAGCCAGATCATCTGTAAATTGATGAGATCTCGACGCCTGTCTTGTGCTGCGTTTAAATTCAAAATCTCTGGCTACCATAGCGAAGAACTCATCCGACCAATTACCATGAACGTATTTAAAGAAAAGACATAGAGAAGCAACCTTGCGGCAGTGGGAAAGCAACTGAATCCGAGCCGCCAGATAATAACGTTACTGTTTCTTCTTTGTATCTCATCAAGAGCTCATCCAATAGCAGGGACACCGGACCATATACGGCAGCAATATTCTAAGCATGGACGAATGGTAGACTTATAGATATGCAAGATAGATACGAGAGAGAAAAATTGTCTCTTCCGGCACAGTGAACCAACTTTCTTAGCAGCTGACCTAGCAATGGATTCAATATAGTCTTTCCACTTCAAGTCAGCTGAGAACCTTAGCCCGAAAAGGTGCAATGAATCACTTTCCTGGAGGTTAGCATCAGCCATACTGATGGAAGGCAGTGAGGGGTCTCTCAGATAATTAATAGACAGGAGTTTAGTTTTGAAGGGGTTTAAATTGACAAGCCGTCTTTTGCCCCAGTTAACAATGATCTTCAGGTCATCAGCTTCTCTTTTGACCTTTTCGGACTTATCAGCCTTAGTATCGAGGCTGGAGTAAATGGGAGTGTCATCAGCGTAGATGCCAAGTTGAGAGTTGCTGTCATCGAGAAGTTAGATTAAAATCAGCAGATGACCAAGGATGGAGCCTTGGGTGCACTCGCGTTAGGACAAAAAATTTAGGTGAGTGGTCGTTCAGGATAACTTTCGTTTCACGATTTGGCAAGAACGACTGGATCAACTCGAATATGTGTCCGGAAATATCGCAACTTTTCAGCTTGTAAAGAAAACCTGAATGCCAGATTCTGTCAAAGACTCTGTCAAAGACTCTGTCAAAGACTCTGTCAAAGACTCTCCAAATGCTACAGCTCGGACTTTCACTTTTTAGATTCTTACCGCAATCATCGTTTGTACATCAGAAGCTGACCTGCAGAAAATAAAACCGTATTGCTTGTTTAAGAAAAGTCCCTGTGATCAGCGATGACAAAACAATTAAGCATTGATTAGGGTCTCTAGAAATTTCCCAAACAGAGACAGAATGCTAACAGGCCAATAGTTAAATGGGTCGTGCGGTTCACCAGAGTTCTTAAAAACATGAACAACAGGCGATGACTTGAGATTTTCCAAGCGTAGCTTAGATGTGGCACAAGGCCGAAAGTATGGGGCACCCAGTGAGGATCGAACTCACTACTCAGTCGTAATTGTTCTAGCAAGACGAGTTTGCTAACCATTACACCACGCCGAGGTGCCCACAACAGGCGATGACTTCCAGCAGACAGGAGGCAACAAGGCATTTATTAAACAGTTTAAAGAGAACAGAAGTCAGTTCGGCAGCACACTTCTTAAATTCTATAACATGGATGCCATCGGGTCCATATGCTTTGTGGGGATTAAGGTTAGAATTGATATCAGAAACCACGGAAAGAGTTATACGCATATCACTCAACAGAGAATCGGTTCTAAGACGGAAGTTAGACAGGGATACTCCAGATGAGTGAACAGTAGAGTTTGAGGAAAATTTACAGCAGAGGATGATAACACCTCAAATCAATTGAAGAGGGAGGGAATAGAAACCTTGCACTTATTTAGTACCCTATTACAGGGGTACTAGTAGTCACGAGCAGCAATTTTTTTAGAGGCTAAGCTGTGCCTCATTCTCCCGGGAAACAGGGACTTTGCTCCTTCGAAGACACGCTTTACATTTGTTACGAACAGTAACATTTGTTATGACCAGAGCTGTCACGCTGGTGTGACCGGAAATAGTGGTTTCTGTTTGTTATTGCCGCCGAGAATGCTGCTGTTGAACCATGCCTTGTAAGTTCAATACCTGGGCACAGCAGTGGGAACAAAAACTTGGAGAGTTGAGTTATTCGGTTGGTGCAAAAATAATGACGTAATAATGTCGTTTTTGACGTACTTTATAACGTCAAAAACGACATTATTACGTCATTATTTTTGCACCAACCTAATATTAATGGAAATTAACTGAAACTGGAATATCATAAGCAGCCAATCATATAATCTTTTAAACAGATAGTAATCTGAGCACTTTCTTTGCTTAAAACGGAAATAATTCTTAAACTCCAG